GCATTTAGATAGAAGCCTCTTCATGCAGGGGAAAGAAACCCATTACAGACATCCTAAGATTTAAATCCTTTCCCTCCTTTCCTCCCTCTCCCTCACCTCCTTTCTCCACTCTGCAGAAGGCATGCATGCAAAATAGACACGCTAACATTCCGAAGGAAGTAGGCGATAACTAGTTAACATTCAGATTTCTTAGTGCACTCTGTAGTAACAAAATGGACCAGCTTCTTGAGTTTTGAGGGGATGTAGTTGTGAGCAAAACTTTGACATTTTACCAAAGTTATACATATTTCTCTTTGTTTTCATCTAAACCGAAATTTTTGTAGCATTATAATACACCTTTGAAAAAATACTAAAGGCATGCTTCAGAGCTCCTTGGGTTTAGGGGGAGTAGTGCTGGCATTCTAAGGAAATAATCTAAAATGTATGCAAATATTTATGTAAAACATTTTTATTTCTGTGTGTACTGAAAAACTGGAAAATGCCTGATTTATAAGTGTTTGTATAAATATGCAGCCATTAAAATATACTGACAGCCAATGACATGTAAAAATAATGCTTATTTTAATAGTGAAAAACGGCAGGATACAGATTTCTTTATGTAGTTGATCTTACCTATGTAAAGTGGATTTTTTAAAGTGACTGGCAGGAAATATGCAAAAATGTTGCATATGGGCATTAATAGTGACCTTTTTTTCTGTATATTCTTAATTTTCCAAATATGCTATAAAAACGCATAATTTAGAATAACTCAAAGATAAAAATACATGTAGTATAAGATGCAGTAAGATAATATAATTCACTATGGGCCTCTAAATCTGTTAAGAGGATATGTATTTACATTAATTCTGTGCATTGAAAAAAAATACAAGCTTTAAAATACTTTCAGGAAGAAGCTAAAAAACATTATCCTGCATGTAAAACACCTCACACAAGAGTTGATACTGTGATTTCATCAGTATGATGTTATAGAACACGCAAAACTGTTCTGTGCTTAAGCATCAGAGCAGTGATTATTCCTGGAAATTGGACAGGGATTAATGAGAAAGAAGCATGCATGTCCTTTTTGGGGTGAATGGTGATGTTCTTTATCTTGCTTGTTGTAACGAGTTTGAGTTACAGAGATGTATATATTGTCAAAACTCGGTGAATATACCTTTAAAATTTGTGCTTTGGATGTAAGTTTTGCATCAAAAGAAAATATACTCTTAACCAAAAAAGAAATGTTTGGGGAACATCTTGTTTTGTAAAAATGTACAAATTCTCTTGCTGGATTTTCCTCCACGTCCTACGGTCTTAGGTGTTACAGACTGAGATAGGTATAAATCCCTTGTACTCCAGTTGATGCCTTGTGCTCAGCTCTGTGAGTATTACGTACTGCATTGCATTGGAGTTGTTTCATCTAATGTGAGCTGTTGGGAGGCCGGAAGTATATTCCTGCCCTCTGGCACATGATGGGAATATTGCCCAGTAGATACTTAATAAATGAATATTCACGCCTCCACATGTAACACAAGTTTTTCTCTACTCATGGAAGCTCTTAGCGCTATATTTTTAAATATTTCTTGATAGCTAGAATTAACACAAAATAACAAAAGTTAATCATTAATATTGTCATTTCAAGTTCTGAATTCAAGGAGATTGCTTAAAATTATATCTAAGTATAATAGAAATCTGGCTTAAGTATCTGTCATTTGAACAAAAAGTTGGTGTCCAGGTTGTGGAAATCCAATTGCAGAATGTTTCAGGAGAAAATAATAAATTGACTAATTAAAATTTATATGCCTTGCAAAAAGTCTTCCCAGCCATTTTGTGTGTGATTTTAACCTCTCAATAAAATGTTGAAATTAAGACTGAGGATTATTTGGAAAGCTGGTTAGTTATACTTAGTATTTTTTACATAATAAAAATAGTAGAAAAAAACTTTTATTCTATAGGAGAGGTTAACTTAAAATTTTAAGATTTGATGTTATATAAAGTGATTTATAGTAGAAATCCTAAGGAGGATCAAAAGCATACACCTGCAAAATTCAGAAGGAAATTTTGTGCTGGTATATTTTTTGACAGCAATGTATGTATAGATACTGAATGAAAGCATAAATATGTTAAATATTTCAAATTGATTAAAATATGTATTTAACATTTTATTTAGAGATGAATTTGTTACTTATATCTTATAAATCACTCAAGTTATTTCTCTTCTTTGTTTAGCCATTATGAGTTAGTTTTTGAAATGAACTTAAAAGGTTGAGCTTACTATAGTGGTACATTGCATTCTATGCTTTTGTCCTAAAGTTTTTTTATGGTTTTATTTTAGTTACTTAAAATTTTGCCATATAATTAGAATGAAGGGACATTAGATTATTTGCTTACCTTATTAACAATAAATAATAACATTTATTAAATCATACTATGTGCCAGGTATTATGCTCAGTACTTATGTCATCTTATATAATCCTCACAGCTGTCTATCCTCATATTACAAATGAGGAAACTTGAAGTTTAGAGAGGCAAAGTGATTAGCCTAAGGTTACACATGAAGTAGTTGAAGTGAATGTGAACTTAGGTTTGAGCCGATTCCAAACCCAGTCCTCACCACTACACTTTACTCTTCCACGTTTTACAAGCTAGTTGTTGAGACTTGTTCACAGTGTTTTCGATGGGCTTAATTATATATACATACTGGGATTCATGGATTTGTCTTGGTTACTACCATAAAGTTCCTTAGTGTCTAAGGACCTTGTTACTCAAAAGTGTGGTCCACAGACCAGCAGCATCAGCAGCTCCTGGGGCTCCTTGGAAACGTCTCTTAAGCCCTAGTCCCAGAGTATAGCATAGAGTGTGCATTGTAACAAGATCTCCATGTGACTAGTGTGCGTATTCTAGTTTGAGAAGCAAGGGATTTAAAATAATTTGATCAAATAAGAGTAGTGATATCTAAAGAGGCGGTATCCGTATCATATGATTCTAAAAGAGTTATATTTAGACTGTGCCAAATTGATTTTCTACATCTGTTTACATGCACATTGTATAGATATTACTTATCAGTCTAAGTATATTATACCTATGATATTTGTTGAAGATCTTTGGATTTTTTTTTCTGGATTTATTAAAATCTCTGTTAAATATTGCCTTTTGGAGGACTGTTTTAGGGTTATAATATTTTCTAATTTTGAGGGTATTGGGTTTCAAGCACAAGAGCAACCTTGTATGTGACATCAACTAACTACAGATTTTATTTGGCCATTTTATTTTTTGTATTGCATTTTCTCTTTTAACTGAAATTTTTTACATCGGTGAAAATGGGCTGACTTTTATAAATGTGACCCATTGTTGTTTGTTAAAGGACACTAATTAAGTTAATGAAGCTGAGAAGTGAAAACTTGATGTCCCTTCCAACCCCCATCCCTTCCCAGTTTGCCTAATGCCTCTTTCCTAACACTGGATTTGTCATTTTTTTAGATGTGGAAGTCATGTACTATGACTGGATTTCTCTTTGTTTACATGGCGCCCTTATGGACTAGCAGGGTCTGTGCTTTAAATATCTCCTAACAGTCCAAAATTTAACCTAATATATGTATTCCTGTATTAACAAACGAATGCTTTCTGACAGTTTCACATAGGAAGCACTTTTCTTTTACGCATGTACTATCACTAACGTAATAGCTGTAGTTGAACAACCCCTAACTTTAAATCACTTTCTAGATTAAGACAGTAACTGATTTTGAGGATGGAAAGTGGATTCCAGTAAGTTTATACATTCACTCTTTTTCCAATACTACAGAACAATACCTGTGGTTTGCATCTTATGTAAATACCATAGTTTTAGATTTTACATGATCTTACTTAGTTTTTGCTTTTCACTAAAACATACATAGAAGAGTTAACTTTTATCAAGGAGTGGTTGAATCAGATATTGTATAAAGTAATCAAGTACTTAAATTTGATTAGATATAGGTTTGACCTATAAGCTAGACATTAACTTAAAAAGTAATGAACCCAGCCAGGCACAGTGGCTCACGCCTGTAATCCCAGCACTTTGGAAGGCCAAGGCAGGTGGATCACTTCAGTTTGGAGTTCGAGGCCAGCCTGGCCAACATGGTGAAACCCTGTCTCTACTAAAAATACAAAAATTAGCTGGGTGTGGTGGTTTGCACCTGTAATCCCAACTAGTTGGAAGGCTGAGGCGGGAGAATCGCTTGAACCTGGGAAGTGGAGGTGGCAGTGAGCTATCATTCCATTGCACTTCAGCCTGGGCAACAGAGTAACACTTCGCCTCAATTGAAAAAAAAAAAAAAAAGGAATGAACCCAGTAGCTATGAAGAGGATGAGCTGGAAAGATTTTATATCACTTACCCAAACTTAGTCTTATGCCTCTATTCTCCTTATCTGCAACACCTTTCTTCTGAGAAGTTACTTTGTCTCACTCAGAAAAGCCTAACCCTTTCCTGTGAGCCTAAGAAATAATTAAAAGTTAGAATTTAAAAGTCTTTCTTAAAGTAAAAATTTTAAGTACAAAAAGTTAATGCATCAAGTAAGTACAAACTTTTAAAAAGTTGACCAAGCGTGGTGGTTCACGCCTGTAATCCCAGCACTTTGGGAGGCCATGGCAGGAGTTTGAAATCAGCCTGAGTAACATAGTGAGACCCCATCTCTACAAAAAAATCTAAAATAGCCAGGCACAGTGGTTACATACCTGTAGTTCCAGCTGCTTGGGAGGCTGAGGTGGGAGGATCGCTTGAGCCCAAATAATTGAGGCTGCAGTTAGTTGTGATCACACTGCTGCACTCAGCCTGGGCAACAGAGTGAGACCTTGTCTCAAAAAATTAGAAAATAAAAAATTGAAAATAAGATTTACTTTCCATTCCTAATATTACTCATTTTTTCATTATCTCAGCATCTAGATTTAGTAATAAAAGTATTCACTTCTGTCTTGAAAATCAGTTGACATTAGTATGAATCAAATATTCTTCAGAATTTTAAAAATGTCTTTTATTTTTCAGCAAAGATGTCAAGGAAGTTAAGTTTACCTACTGACCTAAAGCCTGATTTAGGTAAGTAAAATAAACAAATAAATAAATATTCAAAATAATTTAACTCCCTATAATGGGAAGACAAGGAAATCTGAAGACTTATAATTAACTGTAAGATAGTCATTGGAAAGCAAGTTTAAAATGACTAAGATGCTTAATGTTTAAACATTCTTTAGCCTTTAGAATGCTATCTAAATTTAAAAAGAGAATTGTAATATAAATTCAAGCAAACCAAAAGAATATATTTTCTTAACCCTCTCATACTCTATGTCTAAACAGAATTTAGCATAAGAATAAATTTGTGCAATTTTAGATTTTTATTAAAAATGGTTATATCCCATTTAACCACCTGAAAACCTATTTTGAACTCTATAATTTATGAAATTATTTTTATACTAATGAAATATTTAATATTTAAAAATAGATTATTTTTTTCTATATTATAGAGAATCATAGCAAGAATCATTACTAACTTTTTGATTGTAATAAATTGGGAAATATTTCTTTCATAGTACTTTCTGTGTAATTCATTTATTATGAAAGCAGGATGAATATATTCACATATTTATTTTGCTTTATATTCAACCCAGAAACAGCTCCTTGATAGTATATAGGGACAAATGACATTTCAACAAAGAAAAAAAAAGTAGTATTTCCTATAATACCTGTAAAACATGGTATCTTTTTAAACTCATTTTTTATTTCTGTTGCCTTTACCTAAATAAGTATGACTGCTTAAGGATGATTTCACCCACCTCTATCTTAGAGGTAACTAGGTTTTCTCCCTTGCATTAGCCCTCACCCCTCACCACTATTTATTCTCCAGATTCCTTGACTATGTTTCTTATGTATCATGTCAACTTAGGTGTTGGTCCATTTAAACCTACTAATTTTAGCATTTCCAAATCATTATCTTACCTCAGTTAAGATTTTAACCTTGAGCAGTTTCATCTGTTGGCATTATGTTTTGATTTGGGAATATAAAAGTTTGTTGAATAAGGCTTTGTGCGGGGAGGAGAAAGTGATACATACAAGTAGCATGTTTTAAGTATGTAGAGAGTAGCATAAAAACAGTGATTTTATGGCATGATTGTATCATGTAGAGCTGGATGGAGGCATTAATGACAAATTTTGTTTGAGTATAGATCAGCCAATAAGATCACATATTCAGGCACTTTTCTGACATCTAAAAACTAGAACTTTAATTCTTAATAATAACCATAACATTTCAGCTGTATGATAGTGGTTATGGGCTATCATATCACAGAAAACTAACAAAGTTTTAGACTTGAACGTAGACACAAATTCTGACACTACCATATGCTAGCTTGGTCATTCTGGGCAAGTCATTTAACCTCTCTGAGCCTCTATTTAATCATTTGTTAAATTGTGATGATAATACTTTTTAAGGTGGTTATGTAGACTCAATAAAATGATAAATGTAAAGTATTAGTGCCTGGCACATGGTAGGCCTTGCTTAGTGATGTTTTCACTTCTGCTCTTATTACTAGAGCTACTAAAATTAAACTTTTATTCTGTTTATTTAGTTTGCCAAACTTGTATAAATGAGCTCACAGAGACCCATAATGCCTAACTTAAAAGGAGTAAATGGAAGTTGTAATTCATTAATTGCTGAAAATTCTTTTTTTTTCCAAAAGTTGAGGCAGATAATAAAATAAGTAACCTATCTCAGTTTCACATTTGACTCTTATTCAGTCAATTTTTCCATTTTGATCTAGCTTTAGAAGTGGTTTTGGTAATCTAATTTTTATAGATAAGTCATGTAATAAAAATACAGTTTTAGGTTGTGAATTTTATATAGTTAGTCTATTAAATTCAAACATTGCTCATTTGACCCATGAGTTAACATTTAAAGTATAGGTTGTTGTGAATCACCTGTTGTAATTTTAGTAGTTATCATTAAGAGTTTTTCCACAGGTTAATTTACAAAGAAATCTGTTTTATCAACTTTTCTCATATCAGTACGTCACAACTGAAAATGTTCATTTGCCTTGTATATGTATGCTTTACAAGTAACAAATTAAATGTACTTATTGTAATTTTAAAAATGTATTTTACTAAAATAACTTTGAAAACTATAAAGAAAAAATAAATATTTGTAATCAAAATTATATTATAAACTTTCTGTATTGAGGCGTTGATTATGGGAAGTTGTTTGATTTATAGGAAGTAGTTCTTTTCTACCATATCATAATTTGTAAATTATGGAAATGCAGCCTCAAGCAAAAGAAAGATGTTTTTAGAAACTGCAGTTAAAAAAAAAAAGATCCATAGTATTATCATAACTAATATTACTGTTTTCAGAGGCTACCTATAATCAAAATTATGTTGCATATAGTTACTGGGAAATATTTTAAATATATGAATCTAAATTTGATTGCAAAAACTTTTTGTAGAGTATAACTAGGATTTGGCTATATCTTTTTTATTTAATAAAGAAAGTACAACTTAGAAGACTTTAACATGTTTTATATTTTTCACATTTTGGAGAGTACTTTCTTTCACAAGAGCATTGAAAGCATGTGATTTAAGGAGTTATTAGATGTAAGTAGTAGAAGCTACTGGGAATTTTAATAAATCCTAAGGTACAGCAGAAGCATTGGTTTAGATATTCTCAACTATAAATCTGCCTTCGTCAAGTGTTCATTGAATTCCTTTCACATGCAAGGCACTGTGCCAAATTCCACAGGGTATCAAAACAACACAATCTTTGCTTTCAACATACTTGCAGTCACTTTAGAGTGAGGCATGAGAAAAGTCAGAAATAACTACAGAACAAATGTACTGTAAGTTTCATAGGAGAGATACATGGCTATAGGTATTCAAGAGGGAGAGAAACTATGTAGGTTGTAGGAATCAGGAGAAACTTGAGGAAGATGACAGTAACTGAGATGGAAAATAAGCAGAATCTTGATAGGTAGGAGAAAAGGCTGATGCAAGGGCACCAATCAGAATACCACAAGCAAAAGCCTACAAGTAGGTAAGTACAGGTTATGTTTGGGGAAAATTTGAGTGGCTCTGTTTATTTCCCACAATGAACTGAAACGGGGTAGCACTGGGAGATAGGGCCAGGAGGATAGGTTAAAGATATTTTGTGAAGAGTCTTAAAAACTTGAGTAAGATTATAAGCATGATTAAATAAAGAGGAGCTACTAAGGATTTTTTAGATTGAGGTCATAGAATTATAGATATGCCTTATAAAATTTAATTGGGTTTTGTTAGTAGTGAGATGCTGTGGGTGAGGAGATCAGTTGGGAATTGTCTAAGTAAATGGTGATGAGAACCTGAACTTAGGGTAATGGAAGTAGATTACCAGTGGAAAGAAGGAAACAAAAATGTGCAATAAAATACCTTAGGGCTTGGCATCCCATCAGATGCATAGGTCAAATGAAAGGGAGGAACCCAAACTGTGGCTCATCTTAGGTGTTTCTCCCATTGAGAACAGGAGTGTCGTTAATATAAACAGTGCCATTCGAAGAATTTACTGGTTTGGGGGAAATTAAGTGTTTTGGTTTTGCATAGTGAGACATAACAGGAAAAAAAGTTCAAGAAGCGTTTGGAAGTGATGTTCCAAGAGAAACAAAAAGGCTAGGGCTTGAGACAAGCTTGGGATTAGCAACAGGGAAGGTAGCTAAAGATGAGAGAAGTTTTATTAGTATAATTTTTTAAATGTCCCTGTCATTACAGACAGAGCTGGGTAAAGCAGTTTGCCTGGTATCAAGTATGAGTCAGATGGCAGTTATACGTTTTGGTGAAAATGCCTTAGGTGAACGTGGATTACGATTAAAATGACATTGAAGAAAAATGAGAAAAAAGCTAAACTTTTGTTGATTAAAGGTTTTTATATGGGCTGGTCTGAAAAATAAATGATCCATCATACAGTAAATTAAAGGGTAGAATCAGAGTACTTCTAAATGCATTTTAAGGTAGAAAATGGAAAAGGTCCACACTTGTCAAGCTCTACCAGTTATGGATTATATTACCAAAGAAAGACACAGTACCATGAGAAGGAAGGTGCTGAGGGCTGAGCAGCCGGGATCCCAAGGACTGCACATTCAGATATTCATCGACATGCATCCAGTCCAGTTCTGAGGAGTGGGAATTTTTTATATATTTAAGAAAAGGGGAAAATTTATTAGCATCGAAGTAAATTGTTTTTGTTTTCAGTTACATTTGACCCTTAAACAATGCAGGTGTTAAAGGAATCAACTTCTCACTCTGATCAAGTCAAAAATCTGCATATAACTTTTGAGTCCCCAAAAACTTAACTTCTAAAAGCCTATTGTTGACCGGAAGCCTTCCCAGGAACATAAACAGTAAAGCCATATTTTGTATGTTAGAAGTGTTATATACTGAATTCATATAATAATGTAAGCTAGAGAAAAGAATGTTATTAAGAAAATCATAAGGAAGAGAAAATGTATTTACTATTCCTTAAGTGGAAGTGGTGGTTTTTCCACTGAATAGACTGAAGAGAAAGAGAAAAGAGGAGGGAGGGGTTGGTCTTGCTGTCTCGGGGTGGCAGAGGTAAAGGAAAATCCATGTATAAGTGGACTTGTGCAGTTCAAACCCATGTTGTTCAAGGATCAACTAAAATGAAGTTAAAATTAAATGTACTATAGATGTTGTCTTCTTGCAGATCAACTGCTTGGCCAAATTTATACCAAAAAACCCCACAAATAACTTATTTTATAACTTGAGCAATCTCACAATATTTTTAACCATTTCAGATGTAAAGGATAACTCCTTCAGCAGATCGCGGAGTTCAAGTGTAACAAGCATTGACAAAGAATCCCGAGAAGCAATCTCTGCTCTTCATTTCTGTGAAACGTTTACTCGAAAGACAGACTCGTCCCCTTCCCCTTGTCTGTGGGTTGGAACAACGCTAGGAACAGTGCTTGTCATTGCACTGAACCTTCCCCCAGGGGGAGAACAAAGACTTCTTCAGCCCGTAATAGTGTCTCCAAGTGGTATGTATGCTTTGCTGCTGCACTTAGAGTTATATTACAGGTTTGATTTACTATGATGGAAGCCTTTGTTTTTCATTCTTGAACTGATCTAAGAATTCTAAAATGTAAATGGGGACAGCAACAGCCTTATGTTTTAATGAAAGAATACGTAGAACAAGATTTCAGAATGTTGTTTGTTTATACAGCCATTCAAGTTTTGCCATTTTTTAAAACTCTAGATCATGTGTAAAATAATTACTATGTAAGAAAATATTTTTTTAAAGAAGATTACAGTAGTGCATTCATAATACCTCAAGCAAATACCACAAGCAAAAGAATGGTATACATTAAGAGAAAAATAGAAAAATACATTTTTAAATATTCTACACATGGTTATTTTTAATCTCCAAGAGTGAAACCTGAGATTATTTTTCTACTTTGAAGTGTTAGGAAAAGGTGACTTGAGTGCAAATTTTAAACAATAGTAATAGACTTTATATATTGAAAATGAGTTTGGATTTTGTCAAATGTTTGTGGAGTCTGTTAGGTCAGGAGATACCTGAGAATTCTTATTTCTGTTACTGCTTATTTATGCTCAACCAGATAGAAATAACCATGATTTTGCTTGTAAATCTCTCTTGCTAGTGTACTGACTTTTACAGTTTTTGGAACTTAGAAGTTAAACTGCAATTATAATAATATTTCTGAGCCATCATTACATTAAATAGTTTGATTTATTCATTTTGCTGTATAAATGCTTGAGGATATACTGCATATCAGTTTGTTAAATTAAAGAAAACAGGTTACATAGTGATATTCTTAGCAATCTCAGTTTTTATTAGTAAACAACAAATATGTGTATTGGAATAAAATAAACTGGAAAGTTGAAAATCAAATGTTAACAGGAGTTGTCATTGGTAAGTAGGATTTGGAGTCATTTTTATTTTCATTTTTTTAACTGATTTGGAGTTTTTAAATTTTCTATGGCAAACATATACCAATCTGTAATAAGAAAAAAAATGTTTTCAATAAATGAAAATGAGTGAGCAGGAATAAATATAGATAATTTACTGTTAACTACAGAAAAAAAGTAATATACTTTCCAACTTGCAATAAATCGAATTAGCTGGAAAGTGAGTACAAAAATAACTTCATATGTAAGAAAGAAACTTAGTTTCCTCTCAATGATGGAATCTTTGAGGTTTGTTTTTAAAAAGATGCTTATTTAAAAATATGTCAGTGACATTTTTGTCATCTCTTTTGGCACTGTGAGAAGAGAGAGGTTTTCAAGCTGATGGGTTTCTGTAGTTAAGAACCTAAAGTGGTCTACTTTGTCTGCTGTTATTTTTTCTTTTCTTCAAGAGGAAAATTCAACAGTTAACCACTACTCTACTGGGAAACATGCTGAAGTCCCATCAACTATAGGAAAAGCAAACATTTAAAAGTTATTTTAGGGCAATTTTTTTTTAAAATCCACATACTAGAACAATGTATGTGCTATAAACAGTTCCCAAATTAGCATGGATAATTCAGCTGACCTCATCAAAGCTTTAAAGGCAGAAGGACTCTTTGGGTGTACCAGAATAAAAAATAAGACACCTTGAAAGAAAAGTTAGCTTTATAATATGTTTTAAGGTAAATAGTAATTAAAACTATAAGAGTAAGACTGTCATATGTTTCTGAGTTTTCTACCAAGCTGCTTAAAATAGTTAAATTATCTGCTCACTGAACCTGGATGTAGAGTAGGGTTACTAGATTTAGCAAATAAAAATATAGGATACTCAGTCAAATTTTAATTTATATAACAAATACTTTAATGTAAGTGTGTCCCATTTAGGCTTGGACAGATATGTAGCATTTGGGACATACTTATACTAAAAAGTATTCATTGTTTATTTGAAATTCAAATTGAGGTATGTGCTCTATTTTATCCTGCAGCCTTACTGCAGATGAAACATAAATGCAAAGCGGAAAGGAAAGAATATTTGTTTCTTTTAAGAAAAGTTTTGAGAGAACATCAGGAATTTGTTTTCTTACAAATAAAAGAAAATAATGTACGGACAAAATACTGCAAGCTATAAAACCTTATATAAATTTAAAACAAAACATGAAAAGTCTTTAAGAACTGAATGCTAACTCAGTTGTCTACCATCCCTTCCATTCTATTAATGTTGTAAGTTTACTGAGAAGTGAGCATTAAAGCATATTTATACATTATCAAGGATATAGGGGAAAGGGTATCATTAATTGAAGCAAGTTAAAAAATGTAGCCTCTAGATTAAGACGATAAGCTGACCGAAATAATGCCTTAAGTACACCTGACATTTGTTGTAAATCATTTAAAAGGAATTATGATTTTAGAGGTAATGATTACAAATATGTGGATTTTTTTTCTCATTGGCCATCTAGATCAGTACTGTTTATTAGAAATGCAATGCAAAGCCACATACATAATTTTAAATATTCTAGTAGTCACATTAAAAAATTTTAAAAAAAGGTGAAATTAATTTTAATAACATTTAGCCCACTGTATCCTAAATACTGTCATTTTAGCATGTAATTATTAAAAACTACTAAGGTGTTTTACATTTAGCTTTTTGGAGTACTAAAATCTTCAGCTGTGGCATGTGCTTTACTCTCGCCACACACTGCAGTTGTTCACCACACGTTGGACAAGGCGCATTCCCAGTGCTCTGCAGCCACATGTGACCCCATACTGACTGCTCCAGGCGCTGTCCACCTGCTCTCCTGCTCACTGGTAGTGCACTTGCTGGGTGTAAGAGAAAACAGTTCCAGATACTCTAGCATGTCATTTGTTTATTCATTTAAAGACCAGATACATGTTTGCAATATTTATTATATGTAATTAAATTGTGAGTGATGATTAGTGGCATTTATCTATTTGGAGCATGTAAGTTGATATCTTTTTCCAGACTCATCAGTATCATGCTTAAAATCTGAATCCTGTCAATGAGCCAATGTTCAATTCAATATGCATTCAACATATTTTTGAGTATCTGCTATCTGTCAAAGTTAGAATAAACATGTTTATAAGATATTTAAGTTATTTACTAGACTTCTATATTTTAGGTACTATATTGAGGTTAAAAGGTGCAATCTTGAGAATGGCATTTCTGGATACCACAGGCTGCTTAATACCACCTGCGTATGAACCCTGGAAAGAACACAATGTTCTGGAAGAAAAAGATGAAAAGGAGAAACTGAAAAAACGGCGGCCTGTATCAGTATCCCCCTCCTCTTCTCAGGAAATTAGTGAAAACCAGTATGCAGTGATATGTTCTGAAAAGCAAGCAAAAGTAATCTCACTGCCAACCCAGAACTGTGCTTATAAGCAAAATATTACAGAGACCTCATTTGTGCTTCGTGGAGATATTGTAGCATTGAGTAACAGTATCTGCCTTGCCTGTTTCTGTGCCAATGGACATATAATGACTTTTAGGTAAGAGTTAGATTTTTTTTAAACATTTATAGCATTTCCTCCCCCAGGTTATACTATAGAATTGTTTAAAAGAAATGTTTTTTTTTTTGTTACAGCCTTAGACTCTGAAAATTTATTTTGATTCAGTTAATAGTGAACAAGTATATGAGGAGTATAAACCATTTTTTTATCTCCCACTCAAGTATACAAACTAAATCATAAGATTTGTAAGGTCTCTGCCATTTTTAACAATGATAGTATGTTCAAGACTAAAACCTACCTTATAATTAACAAGTTTTTAATTTTTTTCTCAAGTTTGCCAAGTTTAAGACCTCTATTGGATGTGTATTACTTGCCCCTTACCAATATGCGGATAGCCAGAACGTTCTGCTTTACCAACAATGGACAAGCATTATACCTTGTTTCACCTACAGAAATCCAGAGACTTACTTATAGTCAAGAGACCTGTGAAAATCTTCAGGTAATTAATAGAAATATTACTATAATTTCTTCAGAGGTAAAGTATTATCTGAGGGCTCTTATACTATCTGTTCCTTACTTTCATGGAAGTATACAAGTGAGCCTACATGGGAAAATCCGAACCATTGAATTAGACTTTCAGAGCACATGCTTGGAGACTTCCATGATGAAATGTATCATCTTCAGACATCTACTGTAAGAGCAGTTTCGTCTTACTAATCTATATCTGTCTTTCCAGTGATGGCAGAGAAATATGAACTGTTACCTGCATTTTATACCTACTCTCCACATAAATATCTATTACACACACACACACACACACACACACACACACACACACACACACAAACACACACAGTCCTTTTTAAAGAAGTGTGTTAACGTGAAAATAAATGAGTCTATTTTAGGGTAAATTTTGTAATCCCATCTCCTATTCTGTTTATTCACAAGGATATTTACACATAGAAGAAAAAATATTATTTGATAGTTTTCCTCTGAATATTTTGGTTGATCTTTTTTGAGAGACTCTATGCAAATTCTTTACTTATGGAACTGTGCCCTTTTTTTAAGTATTTGAGTGTTGTATGTGCTTCTGTGTGTATTCGAAATGATCAGTTTAGCTTTACCTTCCAAAGCAAAAGTGCTCTGGAAATCTTGAGCTAAAATATTGATTGATACTTGATATTTAGAGGAAACCACTATATAGAGGAACTTTATAATGAAAGTTTTTTCAATTAATTAGTCCTGTTTTACACATTTACAAATTTGAATTTGTGGCTTGTTTTTAGAGCATGAGCTTTAGAGTCAAAAAGGCTAAATTCAAGTCCGTCCTGTTAACTATGTAATTATGTGGTCATAGACAAGTTACTTAATGTCTCTTAGCATCATCTGTAAAATTAGCATGGAAATAGTATCTCAGAGGATATGGTATGGATTAAAGGAGACAGTGCTTAGCATAGTGCCCCTGGTACAGAGAGTGCTTAATTAATGTCAAATGTTGTTGTCCTCATTGTGTTATTTCAGTAAACTATAATGTACTGGAAACTTAGTCCTGAGTAATATTGTAAACTTTGAGAGTAAAACAAAGTTACATATCTGACATTTTAGATTTAAATTTCCGTTTACATTTGGATGAAAGTTATTGTTCAAAGATTCCTAAGAATCTGAAGTGAAGGATAAACCTTAAAATACTCCTTTTAGCATTTCTTTTCACTAGCAAAATGTTATGTTAAGAAATAATATGGACAAGTGAATATTTTCTTAATTCATTTCCATCTGAAATGTGGTCTTAATTCAACTGCTCAAAAATCTAAACTTCATTTTTGGGGGATCAATTTATACTATCCTTTAGTCAATGTTTTCTTCAGTTATTCTTAAGTTAATAGCAGCCATAGTTTTCTTACTTATGTTTAAATGAAGTAGTCTTTTAGTAGTAAACTGTATTTTAAACTATCTGCTATGTGCCTTTATGATACAGAGATAAACAAAAAAAAATAGACTGTCTTGAAAGAATTTGTGATAAAATGTTTTCTTTGGGCAATATTGACATGTTATTTACCTCTGTATTTTTAGTACCCAGAAATAATGCCTTGGTAAAAATCTGTTGAAGACTACTATGAACTTGATAAATACTATATACCTTGGTTCCCTGCGTATCCTTTTACATTGTACATTCATTTAACTTTAGCCAAAAATAAAAAATAAAGAAGATGCCTACAAACATTTAGGAAGTTTCCAGCCAAGATGGAATAATAGGGACCAGATTTACCTTCCTGCCTGAAACAACCTAAAAAAAGGCAGACAGAACTCATGAAACGATGGTTTTCAAATTACTGGACATCAGGCAATTAAGGACAGTAATCTCTGACAGATAGGAAACAAAGAAGGTATCCCAGCTTTAATGCCTTAATACAGTTTTCAGGACATGGCACAGGGCAAAGGTACAGAGGTAAAGCCTAGCAGACTTTCCAAGTTGAAGAGGCAGGAACAAGAATCTGGGGGCACCAGGTAAATTCAAGAGAAAAGAGCTACAAAGAGAAGGAATCCTGGAGATGTACAGAGTACCCCTGAATATACACTACGTGCCATTCACCGTGTACATGTGACTAAGCTTTCTGAGCAGGAAAAGAACCATTTGAAAGGAATAGAGGATTTGTAGAAACCATGCTAGAACAGTGTGTGTTCCTAATAACCAGATTGGAGAAACCCATAATTCATGTGGATATTAGTTTCCTGAGGCGACAAACTTGGTGGCCAAAACCAGTGGAAACTTACTTGCTCATACTTATAGAATCCAGAAGTCCAAAATCAGTTTCACTGAGGCAAAATCAAGGTGCTAACAGGGTCTTGCTTCCTCTGGAGGCTCTAGAAGATAATTATTTATTGCCTCTTCTAGTGGGAGCTGCTGGTGTTCTTTGACATTGGGCCACATCACTGAAATCTCTGCCTTTATGGCCACATTACCTACTCTTCTGTGTGTCAAAATTTTCTCTGCCTCTCTCTCTTGAAAAGACACTTGTAATTGGATTATAACCCATTAGATAGTCCAGAATAATTTCCCCAGAGCAAGATACTTAATCACTTCTGCACAGACTCCTTTTCTTTGCCAAGTAGCATTTATTGGTCCCAGAGATTAGGACCTGATATCCTTGGATGGTCATTATCAGCCACTACTCCAGCTATGCCTAACAAATTGCAAAAGCAAGATTCAAAAGGATGAAAATGTTTTCTGTCAGAAATTCAAGAAAACTTAAAGGAAATAAAAAATATTTGGCACCCAACGGGGTAAAAATTGCAATGCCTGGTATCCAGTCAGTTACCAGGCATGCAAAGAGACAGAAAAACATGACCCATCATGAGGATAATAATCAATAGAGACCAAACCAGAACTGATATGCATACCAGGATTAGTACACGGAACAATGTTAAAACAATTATAACTGAGTTCCATATGTTCAAAAAGTTAGAAACATGGAATATCCCAAAATAAGATCAAACTTCTAAAGATGAGAAACTACAGTGTTTGAGGTGAAAAATATGCTAAATGGCATTAACGACAGATTCAACGTTACAGAAGAAAAGGCTGTAAACTTGAAATGTAGTAACAGAAAAAAAATAACCGTGTTTGAACATGACAAACTTATAGCACTAAAACACATATTAGAAAAGAAGGAAGTCTCAATGCAATGATGTCAACTTTCACTTTAAGAAACTGAGAAAAGCAAATTAAACTCAAACACAAGAAAAAAATAAATTTCCAAGTGGAAAGCAAGGAAACAATAGAAAAGCATCAATGAAACCAAAGCCAATAAAATTGATTTCAAGCCATACGAAGAAAGAAGTTACGAATTATTAATATCAGTAATAAGAGGAGTCTCATTAATATATATTCTATAGATATGGATAAAAAGGGAATATTATGAACAACTCTGTGCCAGAAATATTCGAAAACTTAGACAAAATGGACAAAGTTCATGAAAGACAAATAACCAAGGCTCACTGAAGAAAAAATAGATAAATAGTCCTGAATCTATTAAAGAAATTGAAATTGAGCTTAGGAACCTTGGACCAAGAAACTTCCAGGCCTAGATGGCTTCAGTGATGAACTCTGTCAACATTTCAGGAAGAAATAACACCAGTTCACAAACCTTTTCAAAAACTGAATCAGGAATGCTTCCCAGCTTGTTCTATGAAGGAAGCATTAACCTGACACCAAAATTAGACCAAGTCATTATAAGAAAAGAAAACTACATATAAACTAATACCTCTCACAAATAAAGCAAAATTTCTGAACAAAATTTTTGCAGATTGAATTCAGCAATATATCAAAGGGATAATAAATACGTTATGACAAAATGAGTTTAAAACAACTAAGTAACTTTGGTAAGCACCTCAGGATTATAATTTATAAACAAAACCCCAAGTAATGGCTATATACAACTAATGATAGTTGAACTGTTTAGCTTCTCATATATACTGTGTATTCAGTATGTAGTTTATTGCTGTGCTTGTCCTGAAGATACTTATTTTTTTCAGATTCAATACTCTTACAATATAAAGTTTTCTTAAAATGATTAAAATCAGTGATTATTTGATGCACTATAAAAGATTTTATAGTAATAACCAAAGCCCATACATTGACTCATTCATGAAATTAGTCCTAAATTTTACCACCAAACTTGTTAGATCACATGCAAGACAAACGATATGCAAGAGTCGAAAATCAGACAAATATATTTATTTCTGAATATTCATATTTTAGATGATTTAAGTCCAAGGTCTTGTTTCAGAAATACTGTCTACTATGAATAGATTTAGCAAGATCACAGAAATTACAAATTATTAGATTTCACCAACATTTACTAGTCATTAACATTAATCATTCTAAATACTACATTTACTTTTAATCAAATCCTTATTTAAATACAAGTGAAAAAATGCCCATACATATTATTTTATGTATTTCTGCAAAACTTTAATATTAAGACTGCAGATAATCTAGACCCTAAGAAACATTTGAATTGTCAACTTCCTTTAAAGATGTCTGTTCATAATATTAACCTATGGATAAATGACTTGTATATTTTTCTAATTGGATTCATCTCTATGTGATAGATTTTTGTATTTCTGTACATATACTATTGATGTCTACTCCTGGCACTTTATATGCTCATTATCTTTAATCCTAGTAATGTTCCGAGAGGCAGTTGTTATTATCTCCCCTTTTTAAAGTTGAAGAGACCATTCCTTTGACAGACTAATTTGACTAAGAGTCTTCTGCTAGTAAAAGTCAGAAAATGAGAATCAAATCCAGGTCCATCTGGTTTCAAAGTTTATACTCATTCTGCTACATAGAATATAATGAATATAAAATGGTGTTTTTATATTTCTTACTTTACCTTTGTGAAATTGTAAGCTCATTAAACACTAAATAATTAGAAATTCAAACCATAATTCTAAAATAAGGTAAAAATTTTTAAAAAGCATACCTTTAAACTGTCATTATTTACATGTTATAGTATTTTGATTTCGCATGAGACACGCAAATGATAGCTGTGTTGCCGTTTTTAAAATTTTATAACAATTTAATATATACAGTTTAAATTAGGATCTGTGAAATACAGTTTTTAAAAGATTTAAAATATGCCTAAATTGCTTCTGAGTTTAACATAAATTTCAATATAATAATAGATATCAGTATATTCTATGTTGGGTTTTAACAAGTTTAATTTATTGAATTCAGAAAGTGTTTTATTCCAGGTTTACTACACTTTATAAAAATCCAGAGGAAAGAAACTAAAAATGTAAGGGCTTAAGTCCACTTCAGTCTTATAAATAAAACTGTTGTGTAGTGTTAATAATTATCTCCTCCCATTTGTAAACTAGATGGTGGGATAACACTAATATGGATATGCCTAAAAGAAAACCTGAACACCCTTTACCAACCTTCTTAGCCCAGCACTAAGGACACAACCCTGAAAAATACTTTTACTCCAACTATAATGATATAATAATACCATAGTATAGCAGAACTCCTACCTGGGGCCAATAGTTTACTTGCCCTTATTTCATAATTATTTCTCTTTCATGAGTGAAATGCAATCCCAGGGCCATAGTGTATTTTAGATTCACTACTATATCCTCCCAAAGTTGCCTAGTAAATAAATATTGCTACCATCCTTTTCTTAAAAAAAAAAAAAAAAAAAAAACCATCTTTTCTCTTTATGTGTTATCAACAAAACCAGTAACATGTCAGCAATCTTACTTCTCTCTTGACTGAGTTTTGCCATTTCTGTACTCTGAAAAATATTGACAGTAATTTTAGAAAAAGTACAAGGAAGACTTCCATCTCTCTGCTATATTTCTGAAATTCCAGGTATATGTTGGCATAATTCTCTTCCTAGCATGTGTTTATGAGAAAAGAAGTAGGTATCTAAATTACAAATTTCTGACTCAGCTAAATGTTATAATTACAAAACTATGCATCATCATTATTACACTGGACTTTTATACTTGCTGTTAAAAAGTTTTCTTCTTTCTGGCCAGGCATGGTGGCTCATGCCTATAATTCTAGCACTTTGGGAGGCTGAGGTAGGTGGATCACTTGAGGCCAGGAGTTCGAGACCAGCCTGGCCAACATGGCAAAACCTGTCCCTGCAAAATACAATAATTACCGAGGCATGGTGGCATATGCCTGTAATCCCACACTATCACAGCTACGCAGTGGCTGAGGCACAAGAATCACTTGAACCCCAGAGGCAGAAGCTGCAAGTGAGCCAAGCTCATGCCACTGCACTCTAGTCTGGGTGAGAAAGCAAGACTTAGTCTCCAAAAAAAAAAAAAAAAAGTCTTTCTAATGTAATTATTAATCTTATCAAATCATGAGTTATATGAAAATTTCGTCTTAAAGATTAGAATCTCCTGACAGCCTTAAGCAAAAATACTGTCTGCCTAAAATGAAAATAAAGAAAGTAATCTAGTAAAAGGAGCAAGCAGCAAATAAGTCTTAGTTTTATAAACTTAGTGTTTGAATAAGTCAGTATGTTCTATATCTGATCATAGGACATGTGCTCATTAATTGTAAATCTCAACAGGTAATGTTATAAGCTTAAAGAGTTTACAGTGATAATTCTGTTGATTATAGTTTAGTTTCCCTGAAATTTTAACAGTTACGATTTGTTTTGATTTTAAAGGAAATGTTGGGTGAACTCTTCACTCCTGTAGAAACACCTGAAGCACCAAACAGGGGATTCTTTAAAGGCTTATTTGGAGGTGGTGCACAATCTCTTGACAGAGAAGAACTATGTAAGTTGACTTATTTGATTTGGATAATACATCTATAAAACAGAAACAAGCCATGGAAATTTTTCTTATGCCTGTAAATTATGTTCACATTTTTTCTGTTTGTCACAATACTTACTATTTCCTGGTTTTAACAAATACATAAAATTATTTTCTGTTATTCTATCCCAAATCAGGGAAATCTTTTACTCAAGGAACCAAAATCGGAATAACGTTTTAGATGGCTAAAAAGTAGTATTTACAACTTTAAGTAAATAATTTAGAAAGTACTTTATTTTCAGTAAATGTGATGTTAATGCTATGATTTTCTTTAACTGATAACCTTAACTTTGAAAAAGGTTTTACTTGAACATTTAATCTATCTTTCAAAACCGCTAAGACTATTCTAGTTCATTTAAACTTCATCATAAAATAAACCTTCTGGTTCATTTACTACCTTCCACATAGTTGATACAAGTTAATAGTTTGTCTTTGAATGAACTAATGGAATCAGTGAATGCTTGACCTTTCTTATAAATGGAAGCTACTATCTATCCTTTGAATTTTTTTTCTTTTTTGCTAAAATATTTAGAATTGTTGTTTCATGTTAATTGGACTAATTAGAAAAACTGTAACATTAAATAGCAGTAAGTAGCAGTGCAGTGAATTTTTTTTAAAAACCACCCAAAAGATTCATCTATAGTTTTTAGTTTAAAAAATGAAGACTGTTAAAGTCAGTGGGGACTGATAATTTGAAATAAAATTCTCACTGAGAAAAATGTATGAAGTTATATAAAACTCAGAAAACCTATTCCTAAACTTTCTTTAAAACATCAAAGAAGTAATACTATAGTAAGGATTTTTCAAGAACAATATCCATGAGGAAAGATAGAAGCCCCGCGTGGAGAGTCTGGCAACTTGGGGCTCTGACTCTGCAGTACTTTGCTAATGAGGCTAAGGTACCAAGCTGTGCTAGGGCTAGCAAGATGGGCTCCCCCTGCTGACAAGAGTGGGGACCCTGAAATAACTCCTGCTATTTGCAAAGACTCAGAGTATGGGTGAACTGGGAATAAACTACCCACCTCCCCTCCACACACGGGAGGAGTGGCTTCAAATATCTGGGTGACCTGTAAAGTCTTCAGTGTTAATTAAAGTTTTTTTCTAGACTGCTAGAGTCCATAGATCCTGGCAGAAGCAAATGAAAAAAAAAAAGATCTCAGAAAGAATGTATTGTATTCCAAGTGCTCAAACTATCTCTACAAATAGTTTTTCAAATATGTAGTCATAGATAACCAGGAACACTAGGAATCAACAGCATGATTAATGAAACAGAAAAGGCAAAAAGATGGTTACTTCAAATATTGGAATTATCAGACACAGACTATAAAATAATTATGAATAATTATTGTGTTCAAGAGGATAAATATCATGCCTCAACATTGTATCACATAACTGAGAACTGTAAAAGTCAATAGCGGTAGATGTGAAAAAACCCAGAATGAAATTCTAGACCTGAAATATTCAAAAACTCAAATTAACCCAATGGATAGGCTTAACTACAAATTAGACAAAAGTGAAGAGAGAATTATGTAACTTAAAGATAGGTTAGGAGAATTCATCCAAAATGTAGCACAAAGAAACAAACAAACACAAAACATGTAGGAGAAGATTAAAAAAAGAAGTTGCTGTGAGAAGATTTAACATGTTTAGACCTATATGTGTCCCCTATAAACAATGTACATTTCTTTCTATTTAATTAATTAATGTATTTTTAAAGGCAGGGTCTTGCTCTGTCACCCAGGCTGGGATGATAGTAGTGTGATCATGGCTCACTGTAGCCTCAAATTCCTAGACTCAAGCGATCCTCCTGCCTCAGCTTCATGAGTAGTAGGTGGGTCTAGAGGTGCATACCACCACTAAGTTTTTAAATTTTTTGTAGAGACAGGGTCTTGTTATGTTGCCCAGGCTGGTCTCAGACTTCTGGTCTCAATCAGCCCTCCCAGCTAAACTTTCCAAAGTGCTGGGATTACAGGCATGTAATCCCATACATATATATGTAGTATATAAATGTGTGTGTGTGTATAAATGTGAGAAAACTTTTTAGAATTGATAGATGATAGTGATCCACAAATTTAAGAAGCCTAATTCCAATGACTTTAACATTTTTCAGTTAGCTAATCTCATTAATATATAGTACACCAGAGACAGAGAAAATTTTTAATCTGGCTAGAGAAAAATTATAGATTTTTTAACGAATAGACACTGATACATGACTTCTCAACAGCCAAAGATGGTAAGATGATCTTCTGTATATTGACAGAAAATGATAGTTATATTTAATTCATAATTCTATACACACAAATTCTTTAAGAATGTGACATTTTTAGACAAATAAGTAAACCTTACCATCACACTAAAGGGGATTCTGAAGGGTACACATCAGATGGAAGGAAAATAATCTTGGATGGGATATCAGAGACACAGAAACAGTGATTTGGAAAGAAAGTAATATGTGGATAATATAATTAATCTTTAGAAACTGCAAAACAAAGATGTATAGTATGTGTATATACACGTACACAAACAATAATATGGCCCATATTATGTCATAACATTAAGGTGTTTAGAAAGAGTAAATGAATTTAAGGTGATCTGAGATTCTTGAATTTTTGGGGAAACTTGTAAAAAGTATTCATTAGCATTGATAAGGACACATGTAATTTATAGGATAACCTGTAAAACTTAGCAAAATAGAACATAACTTCCATATGAATAGCGGGTAAATCACAGTCTTACCAAGACAAAGCAAAAAAAGAGAGAATACAAAACAGGTGGGAAAAACAGGTAGTACATAAAGCATGGTAGATTTAACTTAAATATAATTAATGGTAGTAAATGTAGGCAGAATAAATGTTTCAGCTAAAAGACAAAAATTGTTAGACTTAATTTGAAAAGAAAAGAAGGCCGGGTGCTGAGGCTCATGTCTGTAATCCCAGAACTTTGGAAAGCTTAGCCAGGAGAGTGCTTGAGACCAGGAGTTCAAGACCAGCCTGGGCAACATAACAAGACCCTGTCTCTACAAAAAATTTAAAAACTTAGTGGTGGTATGCACCTCTACACCCACCTACTCATGAAGCTGAGGCAAGAGGATCACTTGAGCCCAGGAGTTTGAGGCTACAATGAGCCGTGATCACACTACTGTCATCCCAGCCTGGGTGATAGAGCAAGACCATCTCTAAAAATACGTTAATGAATTAAATAGAAAGAAATATACATTGTTTATAGGGGGCACATATAAAACCTAAGGACATGCAAAGGTTGAAATTTTAAAAAATGGAAAAGCATAATCACAAATGAAGAATCAGCCATCAAAGAATTTATGAGCATTGGTATGCCAGTAAAGTAGTACTTAAGAGTGAAAATTGTAATCTTAAATACGTCTTAGNAAAAAAAAAAAAAAAAAGCATGAAAGTGAGAGAGCTGAGCATTCATCTCAAAAAGTTAGAAAAACAGCAAAATAAACCAAATAAAGAAGATGAAGATATTTATGAAATAGTAAAATGCAATAGAAAAATTAACAAAGCTATCTTAGTTCAGGCTGCTATATCAAAATACCATAAACTGGGTGGCTTATAAACAGCAGAAACTTATTTCTTACAGTTCTGGAGGTTGTTAAGTTTGAGATCAAGGTGCCAGCAGGATTGAGTTGTTTGGGGACCCTATTCCTGGCTTACAGACAGCCTTCTGGCTGCATTCTCATATGAGGGAAAGAGAGCAAGCTACCTCTCTGGCCTATTTTTAGGGGCTCTAATCCCATTGATGAGGACAATACCCTTATTACCTCACAAAGGCCCCACTTCTGACATTACATTAGGGAGGGATTAGATTTCAACAAATGAATGGGTGGGGGTTGGGGGGCACACAACTATTCAGTGTGTAACAAAAGCCAGTTAATTCTCTAAGAGTCTAATAAAAATGATAACCTCTAGTGAAACCAAGCACAAAAAAAGAAATGTACAAGTAAATGCTATTAGAAATGAAAAAACAAGGAATAACACTGAAGTTAAAAATAAAAATGTAATATATAACTTAATTTTTCTAGGAATTTGTTTACCAATTATAACAGTGAAAATGGACAATAAGATAAATTTAAAAACACTAGTAGTACTATAACTATCAGACATGGAAGCCATCATTTTAAACTTCTCTACAAGTAAACTTCTGGTACAAATTTTGCTTTCTTAATATTTCTTCCAAATATTTAGGGAAAAAAATAATTCAACTCCCTCACAAACTCTTTCAAAAGACAGGAAAAAATAGGTACACTCATCAACTCAATTTGTGAGGCTAACACAACCTTGATACCAAGAACCAAAGTAGTATTAGGAAAAAAACAAAGGCAGATATCATTTATAGAGAGAAAGTCTGAAATGAAATATTAATATAGCAAATAATATATAATAAATACAATATACCAAGACTAAGTTTGATTTGTGTCATGAATTCAAAGTTGATTTATTGTTTTAAAAAATTCAGTATCCATTCCTGATAGAGATTCCTGGAAAGTAAATTGCAAATATCACTCAATGCAGGAACATTAAATGATACTCAAAACTTTTACTTTGAAATTAGGAATGACACATAATCCCCACTATTACCACATACATTCAGCATTCTTTTCAAGTCCCCAAAGGGTGTGGAAAGGGAAGAAAAAATAAACGAGTACTATAATAGGAAACAGAAAACAAAACAGTCATTTGTAAATGATTTGATGACATATTTGGAAGAACCAAAAGAATCTATAGGTAAATTGTTAGAAATAACAGAGGTTACCAAACTTACTAGATGTAATCATATACAAAAATAATGTTTAATTTGTATTAATCAGAAAAAATGAAGTGTTTAAAATTACTATTTGTATCAGTTGCTGCTGTAACAAATTACCACAAAATTACTAGCTTAAATGAACCCAGTGTATTACCTTATAATTCCATAGGTTAGAAATCAACACAGGTCTTACAAGTGTTCCCTGGGCTGTGTTTCTTGTTGGAGGTTTCAGGGGAGAATCCATTTTCTTCCCTTTTTTAGCTTCTAGAGGCCACCTACATTCCTTGGCTTCTAGTCCCATTGTTAGTATTCAAAGCCAGCAACCTTGCATATCTCTATTTTTCTGAAGCCACATCTCTCTTTGCCCACAGCTGGGAAAAAAAAAAAATAAATAAAAATAAAAATAAAAATGAATTAAAAAATTTAAAAAAAAAGTATTTGCTTTTAAGGACCCATGTGATTAGGTTAGGCTCACCTAGATAATGCAGGATGAACTCTGTGTCTGAGTCTCTAACTTAGTTACATCTGCAAAGATCCTTTTCCTATTTAAGGTTTCCTATGTAAGGTTCCAGGTATTAGAATGTAGCCATCTATGGGGGAAGTGGGACCTCCCATAGTACTTTTTTTAAATTTGGTACCTAGAAATAAATCTTAACATGGCCAGAATCTCCATGGAGAAAGTAGAAAATTAGAAAACTTTGTTGAGAGAAGTTAAAAAAGATTCAAACAAATGAATGAGTATACCATGTTCATGGAATGGAAGACTCAATAAAAGATACCTGTTCTCTCAAAACTGATGTGTGTATGTACATATACATATACACACTTAATGCATTTCTAATCACAATCCTTCCAAAAATGTATAGCTAATTCTAAATTTTATATGCATATTCAAAGAGCTCTTACCACTTTTATTCTACATAGGAATGGAGGCTTTAGCCAGGGAAATTCGGCAAGAAAAGCAAGTAAAAGGCATGCAAATTGGAATGGAAGAAGTAAAACTACCTCTGTTTGTAGATCATGTAATCCTTTATATAGACAATCCTAAGGAATCCACACAAAAATAGTTACAGCTAATAGTTTCAGCAAGGGTGCAGAATACAAGATCAGTATAGAAAATGAATTGCATTTCTATACACAAGCAATGAATAATTCAAAAATGAAATTAAGAAAACAGTTTTATTTATAGTAGTATCAAAAAGATAATAATTTAACCAAAGAAGTGTAAAACATATACAATAAAAAGAAATAATTTAACCAAAGAAGTATAAAACATATACAATAAAAACTTCAAAATATCATTTTAAGAAACTAAGACCTAAATCAGTGGACCAACATCTCATGTTCATGGAGTAGACTTAACATTGTTAAGAGGGCAATATCCACAAACTGATCTATACATTTAACACAGTCCCTGTCAAAATCACAACTTTTTTTTTTTTTAGGAAGCAACAAGCTGTCTTTAAAATTCATATGAAAATGCAAAGAATTCAAAATTGCCACACACACACACACACACACAACTGAAAAAGCAAAAAAGCTGGAGGGACTCAAACATTCCAGTTTCAAAACTTATTACAAAGCTATAGTCATTAAGACAGTGTGGTACTGACGTAAAGATAAATAGAGTCCAGAAGTAAGCTCATACATTTATGGTCAACTGATTTTTTTACAAGGATGCCAAGAAAATATATGGCCAACAATTTCAACAAGTGATGTTGGAATAACTTGATATTCACCTGCAAAAAAAAAAAAAATGTTGGGCCCCAACTTTACCCTACACACAAAAAATAACTCAAAATCATTCAAAGATCTCAATATAAGAGCTAAAACTGTAAAACTCTTAGAAGAAAACAGGTATAAATTTGTGTAACCTTGGATTATGCAGTGGTTTCTAAGATGTGACACCTACATCACAAGCAAGCAAAGGGGAAAAAGAAAAGATTGATTGGCATTCATCAAAATTTAAAACTTTGTGCTTGAAATATACTATCAAGAAAGTGAAAAGATGATCCAAAGAATGGGATAAAATATTTGCAAATCACATTATCTGGTATCAGATTAGGTCTAGTGTCCAGAATATATTAAGAACTCTTAAAACTCAATAATGAGAAGACAAATAGACCAGTTTTTAGGTGGAGTTGTGTATTAGTCTATTCTCATGCTGCTAATAAAGACATACCCAAGACTAGGTAATTTATAAAGATAAAGACATTTAATGAACTTACAGTCCCACATGGCTGGTGAGGCCTCACAATCATGGCGGAAGGCCAAGGAGGAGCAAAGGCACATCTCACATGGCAGCAGGCAAGAGAGCATGTGCAGAGGAACTGCCCTTTTATAAAAGCATTACCTGATCTTGTGAGATTTACTCAATATCATGAGAACAGCATGAGAAAACCTGCCCCCATGATTTGGTTACCTCCCAGTGGGTCTTTCCCATGACATATGGGGATTATGGGAGCTACAATTCAAGATGAGAGTTGGGTGGGGACATAGCCAAACCATATCAAGCTCAATAGATATTTATCCAAAGAAAATATACAAATGACAGATAAGTGCCTGGAAAGGTTTTCAACATCATTTGTCATTAGGGAAATGCAAGTCAAATCTACAATGTGATAGATACCACTTCAACACTTACTAGGATGAATATCATCAAAAAGATTCACAATAACAAATACTGGCAAGGATGTGGAGATATTGGAGCCCCCATACATTATTGGTCAAAATGTAAAATGGTGCATCCTCTTTGAGAAACTGACTGATGGTTCCTCAAAAAATTAAACATATAGTTATCACATCCAGCTATTCTGTGCCTACATATATACCCAAGAAAATTGAAAACATGCATTTATCCAAAAATGTGTATAAATGTTCATAGTAGCTTTATTCACAATAGCCAAAAAGTGGAAACAACCCAGATGTCCATCAGCTGATGAATGAATAAGCAAAATATACTTTATCCGCAAAATATGTTGTTCAGCCATAATAAAGGATGCATGCTACAACATCAATAACCTTTGACATTACTCTCAGTGAAAGAAGCCAGCTACAAAAAGCCACCTATTATAGGAATCCATTTAAATGAAATGCTCAGAATAGGCAAATTTATAGAGGCAGAGAGTAGATTAGTGATTAACAAGAACTGCAAAGAGTGGGAATGGAAAGTGACTGCTAACAGGCATGGAGCTGCTTTTGCAGTGATGAGATGATCAGGAATTGGTGATGGTGATTCACAGCCTTGTGAAAAAAGTAAAAATCACCAGTGTATTCACTTTAAAGAAGCAAATGCTGTAGTATACAAGTTATACTTAAAGAAAAAGGAAGGAAAGAAATGTAAGCTGAGGAACCAGGAAAACTGGGATTGGCTTTTAAAGAATTTAAGACTTTTTGCAGTGATCTAAGTGGTAAGTAAAAAGCATCTGGATACCAAAGGGAAAGAAAACAGTCAATCCCAAGATCTTTTGAAGGAAAAATGTCATCTATTTTGTAAGTGACAAGATAAATGGAAAAAAAGAAAATAATATCGCATACCTACAATTTTTGGAGACTAAAATAGGCTACTGAATAAATTCTTCATTTCTCTTTACTTCTGAGTCTAAGCATAGTATATTTTAAGAAAAGGAAGTATGGAGTAAATAATCAAATCTGTATATTTAAATTTAAATCTGTCTATTTGAAGCTAAATATCTTTCATTTTTTGCTCACACAAGAGCAGTTTTTTGTCATTATATAAGTTGGTATCAATATACCCATTATTTGTTTCATTAAATATTTACTATCTCCCTTTTTGTGTAAGTCTTGCTGTATGAGCTAGTATAGAATATTTAATGTACATTGTGTTTTTTCATGTTTAAAAAAGTATCTAAAATTATTAAACCAATCATAACAAAAGAAAGCATGTATTAAGCATATTTCACTTTATAATTTTATTTCAATTATATTACCATTCAATCCAAAAATGGTATTTTAATGCTATCATGTAGTAGGATTTTATATTAGTAAAATGTTTGTTTTTTGAGTTTGTTTATCAAATTTTTTCAGTTGGAGAATCATCCTCAGGAAAGGCTTCAAGGAGCCTTGCACAGCATATTCCTGGCCCTGGTGGCATTGAAGGTGTGAAAGGGGCAGCATCTGGAGTTGTCGGTGAATTAGCACGAGCTAGGCTGGCACTAGATGAAAGAGGGCAGAAACTTGGTGATCTGGAAGAAAGAACTGCGGCCATGTTATCAAGTGCAGATGCATTTTCCAAACATGCTCATGAGGTAAGACTCTCAAGCAGATATTTGAACAAAAAGCCCTAGGTAAAGCAAGTGTGAATGTTATTTTATTTTTATAGCTATTGTATTTCTACACCCATGAATTTGCATATATTTATTGCACAATTGCAAGTTCCTGATTTTTGCCACCAAAGGGAACCATTACAGGAATGTATCTTCAGTAGCCTTTGGTTTCTTATTATAAGATTATAAATTTTGAAAGAACCTGCTCACCTTCAGGCATTTGGTAAGCAAAGCTATTTCTTAAGGAATGCAATACCAATGTTAATTTTTCTTAATGCCGCAGTGTCTGCTGCCACCTTGTCCTACAGAAAGAAATAATTTGCCTCTTTGAATCTTCCACGTAGATATAAATATAAACAATACTAAGTCCACTTTGCGGACCAGTTCATAGAGATGAGCAGAGATGCATTTTGCAATGAAGTTCATCTTGATGGACCCAGGAAGTCATGGTAGAGCTCAGAAACGCGTGGTGTAAAGTGCGGGTCCCTGACTGGTCCCCTTACACCACATCATGCTCTTTAAAAGCTGAATTTAAAAACCTTTAAGGGAAATACACGTTTTTCATTTTGACACACAGGCCTGCTTTTCCTTGATGCTTTATACTAGATTACTTCACACAACTAGTTCCTAGGCTAGCCCTTGAGGACATTTTGAATTTGTCTGAAAAAACAATTTTAAGGTTGTTTTCTAACTTGATCGCCCAATCTGTAGTCATAGCTCTTCTTTAAATTTTTCAATCAAAAGTCATTTCTCCCTTGCTCGAAAATGTGGAAAGCTAGAATGCATGAAGTGGTAACTTGACCTGGAAGATACTTGTCTGGGGCTTCAGAGAGATTCAGAGTTCCTTTATGAGTACTTGTACTATACCCACAGGCACCTCAGATACAGGCTAGTGGTGGTCAGTCTAGGTCAGGATTTTAATTGTCATAACCCTCCACGCGATTGTATGATCTCCACGGCATGTAGCACTTCAGTCAATCTCAGAATATATACATATTCTGAATATTTAACCAAGAGCTTAATCTCACACTGGTAGCTTTCCTTTCTACCAAAAGTTGTTCTTGAGTCATATTTCAGAGTCTAAGGATGACAGTATATTGAGGTAGTTACAGTCACAGGTTCTTGAATTAGACTTCCTGGGGTCAGATTCCAGTTTCACCACTACATTACCTTGAGTAACCTCTAGAAGCTTCAGTTTCTTTTATTAAATGGGGAGAAAAACAATGCCTAGCCCAGGAATTGTTGTGACGAGCAAATGAAATCAAGTAGAGAGAGTGTGTATGCGGTGTCTAGCTCAAGAGTAGATGTTCAGTAAATTTGAGATGACAATAGAAGTAGCATTTTCAATCTTTAATTCCCCAGTTCTTCAAGCATTACTTTTAATTTGTAGTACAAAATAAAAATTATCTTTTATGTTACTAGCTTACGTCACCAAATTATGTCACATTTCTAAGAAATCTGAGGAACTTCTAGGCTAGTTCTTAATGGATATCGTATTTTTTCCTCTAAATAGGATAGTTCTTACTGCTTTCAATAAGTTGAAGTAAGCAATATAATAGCACTACAGAATGTTGCAGAGTGACATAATGTTTTGGAAAAATATAGAAATCACTTACAAATATTGTTGTTCTGGCATTTTAAAAACATGTTTTATTTTTTTCCCTTTAGATGATGTTAAAATACAAAGATAAGAAGTGGTACCAGTTCTGACAACCAGAATCCAATAAGTCCAACTTCAGCCGGAAGGAAAAATGTTATCCATTTTTATTACATTATTTAGAAAAGTTAACATTAAAGGGATGTTCGTCACTGGATACTGTTCTTTCCTAGCACAATCATGCACTGTTTTACCTCTGTCATATGGCTTTAACTGAGGAGTGTTCACACGGACTCGAAATGGAGTATATGGTGTGTGCCAGTTATGAATTGACACTTTGGGAACTAAACAGGTCACAAGTGACAGATGAAGAAACCAAGGGGGATGCTGAGGAGACATGATGCAGGGACTAATCCTGGATCATTCCTGTATTAAACTTTCATATGCCAAAAGGTTTTATGCCGTTTTATCTGCCATCAGTGTTTGACCTGTTTGGGGTGGAGGCAATAAGTCAGAAGTCTTGAAGCTGAAATAGTTATATATATATATATATATATATGTCATTGGACTGGATTATAAACAGCTGTCTTGGACTTTCCCTCTCTTAAAGCTGACTGGTCATCAGTATCATTAGTGAAAAAGAAACAAACTGTTTGTTATCATATCTTTAGACAGATAAGCTGAATGGTGGGCTTTAAATAAAAAAACATACACATAGTTGACTTGTGTATGAGCTACTCTTGGATTCTTGTTATTATAGACTTGTATTTAGTTCATATTTTGTCAAAAGCAAAACAAGAAGATACATCACTTTTCATTGAAAAGAAAAGTGTAGAGCATGACTGAATTGCTCATCATTCTGGGAGTTTCCATGTAGTGGCTATGCAGTGTGGAAAGTGAGAAAAACCTCCATTGTGGTGAGGAGAATACTTCAATGTCCTTTGTCCTTGTTCTCATTAATTCAGCTAAAGGTGGATTTGACCAAAATAATACTGGTTAAATTTGTAGAAATGTTGAAATTGGCTATGTTTTTAATTTTGCTTGAATTTTTATAAAATGTTTAACCAAATGTACCTTTGCATTCTTTAATTAAAATTGCTTAAAAAAAAAACTTTCATTATTTCAGTAAAATGCTCAGCTCCCTTTTTAAAATGTCCTTTATTTGCTAACAGTTCCAATACACTCAGGTGATGAGCCAATTAAATCTTAGTGCACATGCTATCGCATGGAAAATTACAAGCATCTGTTGTCAGTAATTATCTATATAAGAGTTTAGTCTGATGACTTACAAAATATTTTCTGTAGAAATATACTGTAAATCTGTACATATATCCTTTCAAGGTTTTAAAAAGCCAAAAAGAAAGGAATATATGTACACTTTGATAACTAAATTATTTCTGTATTGGAATATAATACAGTTCAAGACCAGCAATGGACAATGAATGATTGTTTCACAGAATAGCATTAAAGACAGGAAAGAACCACCTAATAGATCTAGAAGTGAGCAATCTCAGAATACAGACTAATTTGAGATTATTATTGATTGTTGTTAAAGCAACCAAGCAGAAGCAAAATGGAAGCATTAAAATTAATGTTAATGAAATTTAAATATTGTCTTCTATAAAAAATTGTTTTAAATAATTTTGTTTTTGCATTAAGAGATAATCAGAACACGAATTGATAGTAAACAAGATGATTGTTTTTCTATTTCATATGATCATTAAAGGAATATGTAGGCCATCTTAACTTTTTCATACAGTCTGTTATGCANATATTTTCCTCTACTCTTCATTATTAAAGCTTTTATGTTTACATGTTATAACGTGCACTACTAGATACAAAAGTTTACATCAAAGTTTACTTTAAATATAATTTGGTAGGGACTAAATATATGTGATAGAGATAATTGATCAAGCCAAAAGAAATATTTTTAAAATAAGTCCTTTTCAAAAGTTTTTGAGTTTATAGAAAGTACCAATGAATAATATATTTCTGTTAATGTCAGCTGTCTGAACATTCAGCAGTTTATAAATTGCTTAATTTGTGTTATCTATTATCTAATAAACCCATCATTCCATGATATGTCACAGGAAGTGTTAGGTCCTATTTTAAGGTACAGTTTTGTGAATGTCATCAATAAAATCAACAGTTATGGATTTGAAGAAGTTGAGAAGCATTATGTAGATTAATATACTGGTTGGTTCCGTATCTATGTGGAAGGTCATATTAGCCGCAATTATTTAATTTGCTGTGTTGTGTTACATAACACAAATATATTGTACATTAACTTCATTTTTACTGTCATTTTTCCTGTTGTATACAAAATGAACTAATCTTGTCATTATTTTCAAATATAGAAGTATATACATTTACCTTAAATGGATTTCCAAGATTTTATAAGAAAATCTTAAATCAGTGTTTTATTTTAATTTTTAAATTAATCTGCAGATTATGCACAACAAACTAGAGACTCAGTTAGGATTAGAAAGCTTAAATTATGTTTGAGTGTAGGAAATAGGCTTCTTAGAGTTATACTGGATTCAGCCTGTAGATAAGAAGACAATCTGCAGTAATAACTAACCCAGGGAATTTGTTGTAATTTGAGAGGTAACATCTCTGTTTTTTTTTCCTTATTAAATACAGAAAGTAATAGTCACCAGCAAGCCACAATTTCAAAAAAAAAAAAAAAAAAAAAAAAAAAAAAAAAAAAAAAAAAAAAAAAAAAAACAAAAAAAAAAAAAAAAAAGAAAGTAAAAATAGAAAATATCAGAAAAATGAAAGGTTTTTGTGTGCCCTCTCCATATCCTCAACATTGTTTTGTTGCATTTGTCCTTGACTCTAAAATCATTGAAGTATTCATGATTAGTAGTTTGTAAGCAGGAAGTGGTTTTTCTGTATGTAACATATATCCAGTTCATTTCAGTTTTCAAACTAAAATCCATATATATTTGCTGAGAAAGTTATTTAAAATCTTATATTCTAACAAATTCTATACATTACATCCATTTGAAGTTTTGCATCATCTTAACACTTTCGCTTTGCATTTCAATTGTACAAAGTGTTTCCAAAAAATGGTTATAGATTCGACTGAGCTATTACTAACTTCTCAATTTGACTTTTTATGGATGTGAAAAACGCTGCTACTTGTCTGTGTTATTATGTGTAAGTATATTACAATTTAATTAAGTACAGTAGTTTAAAGTAAGAAGCTTTTTTTTTTTTTTTTTGCTTAGAACTTCTTAATTGTAGGTCCTCTGAAGCTATTTCATGTAGATATGTGAGGGTTTTAAACAAGTCTGAAAGTGTTACATACTTTTAGGTTATAGGGGTGCTGGGGAGACCGCTGAGGAAAGGAAGAATATGTGGAAGACGCCACGGAGTTCAAAGTTTTACCCTGGATTCTATATTCCATATATGTTTTGCTTAAGGCATTTCTCATGTGACATTAGAAAAGCTATATCCAAAGGTAAATTTTTTGTGGCAAAGATTTATTTTACAACTTAACTTTTGGGATTTTATTTGTTTCCGCAAAATAAAGAGCACTGAATTTTAAACTTGAATTTTTTCTGCACTTTTTTAGGTAATGAAAACTTTTTATTATTATTTAATCCACATTGCTCAGTTTAAACCAAGTAATACATGTGTATAAAACATACCAAAATCATGAATATGCTGCTAGCTTTACCTTAAACAAACTGATCAGTTTTAAAACCTTTAATAGGGTTTTATATAGATTAAAACATAGTAAAATAATCTGCTGTATGTTTCAGTGTTCTTGGTCTTAAATTATTGCAACACTTTCAGATTTGTTTTAAGATCATACGGTAACATATTTATACATACTGCTAGAAAATATACTTTTAGTTTTAAAATGGAATTTTTATAAATGTACTTTAATTTTAAAAATGGTGAACTTGTTAAGTTTAAGTCAAAGTACTTAAAAAGTATGTATATTATCCATACAAAAAGTTATGTTTTACACTTATAATAAGAAATATTGGTATCTCATATCGAGATACAATTAATTTTAAAAAATCATACATCATTTAAAAATCTTCACACATGAACCGGAAAGATATCATTTCTGTGGTTTAAAAAAACCCTCTCTTGAGCATTTTCAAATATTAATTTATTTTGGGGGAAAATGCCCACAACAATAATTGCAAGATCTTTCTCAATAGCTTCAGCTTGCTGTTGGATGCCTACCTTAACTATTGTTTAAAAATATAGATATATATAGATTATATATATATATTTAAAATAGTTTTCCAGGTATTTTCTTCTACCTTTTTTAAAAATAAATTTCCAAAAATGAAAACAGAGTTTATGTATTTTTGTCAATGAAGGTTTTTATTTTGTAGTTTATAGAATTTGTTCCTTATCAGTTTGATACTTGATCAATATTCTTATCAATATTCTTAGACTTTTTAATCTGTATTTATTTTGGGGAAAAAAAAACTCCTATATCTTAAATGTCCTTTTTTTTTTTTCTTTTCCCTTTTAGGGTATTTGTTCTCTTGGATTGAAATTTATGCCCACAGATTTTTCTTTTCATTTGAAAATGAATGTGAAGATACTGTTTACAGCTTTTGTTTATTGCACTTTTCATCACTCTGATCAATTTCTTGTAAAGTGCTATGGAGTTTATTTTTCCTGTGAATATTAATGATTTTACTACGGCCTCAGAAATTTAAAAAAGGTCTATAGACAGAAAACAGTTGTTGCAACCAAAACAACCAAAACAACCAAAAAAAAAAAAAAAAAAAAAAAAAANCCGTGGGTGGAAACTGGCTTACCTTCCTCAGCTGAATTAAATGATTTTAATAACTTCCCAATTGCCAGGGTTATAACATTGCTTTCTTTAGTTACTAATACAGTAAAATTAATTTTTAAAATATAGCATTCATTTACAAATTGAGTACAGTAGTCCAGGGCTACATGTAAGTGCTCTCTTTATTCTTTACATCAGAAAAATCATGAATGTCAGTTTTGCCAGTATTTTACAATGAGGCTCATGGTTTAAAATTTTATAGTTTATGACATGTAAATAAACCAGTATAATTTATTGTAGGTTGTTTGACTCAGGCATTTTAAATGGATATAGGTTAATGGCAATGGAATTCTATTTATTTGGTAGTTTGTTTTTTTATATACTTTTGCTATTTGTGTTGTCTACACTTTGCTTCAACTGAAGACAGTGTATGGAGTTGAAAATAAAATCAATATAGCAATGGAAAGCAATGCAAAGAGGGTAAATCATGTTTTAATTTTTTTAACTTTTTTTTTTTTTGTAAATAAGTAGTACTATGATACTTTAGGTGTGACCTCTGTTCCACATGATAGAACCAGAAAAACACTTTGCTTTCTAGTTCTACTATTGGTTCATTGTAAATGCACTACCAAAAGACAATATGAAAAAGAGCAAGATTAAATTTTCATAACATTGTCCACTTCAGGGGCAAGCATGCTTGATACAGAGCTCTAGCTTGTGTATACCTTAAACTGTAACTTGCAGGTGTTTTTTGGTTGCTGCACTTTTTATTTAATCTTGCTCAGTCCCAGTAACTATCTCCAAGGTAATTGCTGGAATATGCATTTTGAAATACGGTTAAAAATATATATGTGTATAGTTTCATCTAAAAAGAAAAGCAGTATTGCAAACACTAAAAACGTGTTCAACTTTGTAGTTATTTTGCATTCCTGTACTTTACAGACTGTCATCACAGCAAAAAGTTTAAAATTAGGTAATGAAATATTTTTGTAAATAAATACCGTTAAGCTGGTATTTTAAAAATGTATTATAAATTAATGTTTCTGGAAAATGTTCATATAAATGTATATGAATGTCTCTTTATGCTGAAGGGCTCTGATTGGGCAAAATAAAATACTCTAATCTCTCCTGAAACTAAACAAGCCCTTTTTCCTGGAAAATTTGTTTTAATTTTTTTCTGAATTATGTAATTAATATATTAATAACCTAAGAAAAGAATTGTTAAAAACATAATTTCCACATTTACTGAAAGTGAAGCTAATCGTGTAACTCAAGTAACACTAACTTTATTTTTCTTGACTATATGTGATTTTTGTTGAAAAACACCTACCCCTTTGTTGGGGTGGATGGAAAGTAAAGGAGACCGGGTGAGAATAAGGAATAGGGATGAGATCTAAGTGCATGCTTCCTGGCCTTTAGTGTGTACACGAATCACCTGGGGATCATATTAAAAGACAGATTCTGATTCAGTGCACTTGAGCTGGGGCCTGATTTTGCATCTCTAACAAGCTTCAAGCTAAGGTAGATGCTGCTGTTCTTGGAACATACTTTGAGTAGCAAGGATATGGATAGTTTCCCAGAGTGTTAGCGTCCAACTACTTGTACCACAAATGTGTATCACATTAGTGAATCTAGAAAAATGTAACTCAAAGAAGACCAAACAGTACTTACCACTGTTTCTATTGTGTTTTAGAATAAAGATGTGGCAGTCTCTTATTTCATTGAAGTATTATTTGATTTTGGAGTATCTATAGTTTTTATTGTGATGCATGCTTATTCCACATGGTGGCAGTCTCGTCTCACTGTGTGAGCCTTTAGCAAGAAGTGCTTGCAGTAGTACACTTTTACAGAGAAAAAAAACCACAGGCTTTCCAAAGGATAATTCTCATAATACTTTTTATCAAGAAAGTTATTAAACATTCTTAGATAAAGAAAAGATAATATGTTCCTAAGTTATAAAGTTATGTAGATCATTTGGTAGAGTGATCTGGTTTATTATCAGAACAGTTTTCAGTGTTTTTCTAGGAAATAGAGGCATAATTGATAAAATTTTAAAAACTGAATATTTTCTTCATGTCCCTGGTCATGACTTTTTAAAGTGCATTATATTGGGTATGTCCTGTGTAAATAGTACAGTGCTATCCACTGCTTTAGATAAAAATATACTTGTCATTGTAACCCTTTATAGGAGTTTACAGGAAGATCCTGGTTTTCTTCCATTACTTTAAAAATTGTATGTTTGTCTTTATGCTTTTTTCAATTTTTTTTCAAAACTGTTTTGTCCTAGGTACCCTAAGGAAAGCTTTCAAAATGCTTATTTTTCAGACTAAAACATCTTTTAAAGAAGAACATACTTATCTGTCTTTTTTTTAAATTTAATTTTTCTTCCTAATAGCAATAATGTATATTCTGTTTACTTTAAACTTATAGAAATATTCCAACATTTAGTTTTAGTCATTTTATATGATTTTATACTGTTTTAAAAAACAACATAGCTGCTTTTTTTACTGCTTTCAAAAACAGCATAAAAGAAAGTTACACATTTAATAAAAACAAGCTTCCAATAAAATAGAATATTCTGTTAGTAGCAAAGGAAAGAAGTCTGAAGACTTCATTTAAAGTTCTTAAGGAGTGTGTGTGTGTGTGTGTGTGTGTGTGTGTGTGTGTGTCCCACCAAACGAGACCTCTTTGTGCATCTCTCCCTGGCTGAGTTCAACTCTGAATCTTTCTGCTTCTCTCTGCTGCTTCCATTTCAGTTCTGTTCCTGACCCCCATGTCTCACCTCCATTCTCTTTACTCTTTAGTATGTTTTATTTTAGCTTAGTACTTTTCTTTGCCCATTTAGCAGAGAAATAATACAATCCCTTGGTTTCCCAGGTCCCCTCGTAAATACTGGGTAGATTTGTGAATAGTTTTTATAAATACAATAATATCCCTACTCTTGGTTACCTCCAGATACTCAAAATATCAGTCGATAAAACATGTTACTGCATGGAAGAAATACTGTGCTGAAGCCAGAAACTGAAACTCTAAGAGCACTGGAGGAGTAGGTTGGGATAGAACACACTGCTGCTTCACTAGGGTGTTATCCAGCTTGCTTTTTCATTTTTTGAGATAGCCTCACTCTCACCCAGGCAGGAGTGCAGTGGTACAATCATGGCTCACTGCAGCCTTGAACTTCTGGGTTCAAGTGATCCTCCTGCCTCAACCACCCAAATAGTTTGGACTACAAGTATGCCTCACCATGTCCAGTTAAGCTTTTTATCTTTATTTTTTGTGGTGTTGTCTAGTCTGATCTTGAACTCCTGAGCTCAAGCGATCCTCCTGACTTGACTTCCCAGAGTACTGGAATCACAGGCCTGTGCCACCACACCCAGCCTGGTGTTTTAGCTTTCAAGATCGAAAATGCCCAGAAATTACAGCACTGCATGAGTACAAAAGTTAGAAGACCACATTTCGGAAAGCGTAAACCTCCATGTTCCTTTAATAATAATGTGACTGGAGATACCATTAGTCTAAGCAGTGGTTCTCCAACTTGAGCATCAGAATCTCCTGGATACACAACTTTTGTGAAAACACATTATTGGATGACACCCCCAGAGTTTCTGAATCAGCAAGCCTAGAGTGGGGCCGAAGGATGGGTATCTTAAGTTCCCAGATGATGTGGAAGGTGCCAGTCTGCAGATCACACTGAGAACCCTAATGTAGAGCGATGCCGTAGAAGCAGTGTCTTCTGTGTATCACAGATAATTTAATTGTCTCCTTTACTATCTTGGAATGAAATTATAGATAATATGCTTGCCTATACATTCAATTTTTAAAAATCAGTCTGTGAACTAACATGCCAGAGATATAAAATGAAAGCAATTTATAATTTTAAAAAATGAATTTCGGTATGCAAATGCTGAGGTTACACATAAGAACAAAGACAAGTCCCACAGATTTCTAAAACACTCCCAAGGGGGTACTTCTAAACACACTCCCCTTATAGCCTCATTTTTGCCCCTCACACCCTCTGACCTTGAACCCTGGGGCCAGAGAGTAGGACCTGCAATAGGATCTATCCTTTTTCAAATTTGTTCCTTTGCAGTGGGACTGTCACAAATATGTTTATAAATGTTATGCTGTAACATATACATCAAAATATAGAAGTTTAGACTACTTAAATGCTCGTCTGGAATTTTAGTGCAGTTTGCATTAATTCTTTTTTTTTTTTTTTCTTTTTGAGATGGTGTCTCACTCTCACCCAGGCTGGAGTGCAATGATTGGTGTCATTTCAGCCCACTGCAACCTCCACCTGCTGGGTTCAAGCAATTCTCCTGCCTTAGCCTCCTGAGTAGCTGGGACTACAGGCACGTGCCACCACGCCTAGCTAATTTTTGTATTTTTTAGTAGAGATGGTGTTTCACCATATTAAACAGGCTGGTCTTGAATTCCTGACCTCATGATCCGCCCACATTGGCCTCCCAAAGGGCTGGGATTACAGGTATGAGCCACCACACCTGGCCTCACTTTCTTATTTAAGCCATTTTTCAACTACTGTAGTCAGGATGGATTAGAGAGCCAGGACTTATCTTTACAATTTTGTGCTTAAAACACACAAATCAATATAATGGTATGCTTCTCCTAACAAAAACTCATCTTGGCAAATAGAGCAATGAATACATTCTATAAAGGTCCAATAGACTCTTATAGATTATAAACATCTCTGACATAACCTTAGTATTGGAAACTTTCACTTTTTCTGATAACCAAAATTCAATCTGATTATTGGTTTATTATTAAACAAATCAATTTGCCTAGTATTTCATTTAAGTTCATTAAAAGTAGGCATTTATATAGAGCTCATTTCAAATGCCAAGCACATCTGTCTGAGTATGAAGACCAGAATTCTGTCCCTAAGTTTACCAGCAATACCAATGACCTTTTCCAGGTTAACCTCTATTTGCCTGAGTTTTGTTATTTATAAAACTGAGATCTAAATATTAGCCTTACCTACCTCACGTGCCACTGTAGAGAATATAGTAACCTCTGAAAATTATTAGAAAAACAGAATTAGCATACACAAAGCTAATTAGCATACACAAAGAGTCTTATATCGGGATCAGCAAATCAGTATTATTATTATTATTTTTTTTTTTTTTTGAGACGGAGTTTCACTCTTGTTACCCAGGCTGGAGTGCAATGGCGCAATCTCGGCTCAGCGCAATCTTGGCTCACCGCAACCTCCGCGTCCTGGGTTCAGGCAATTCTCCTGCCTCAGCCTCCTGAGTAGCTGGGATTACAGGCATGTGCCACCATGCCCAGCTGATTTTTTGTATTTTTAGTAGAGACGGGGTTTCGCCATGTTGACCGGGATGGTCTCGATCTCTTGACCTCGTGATCCACCCGCCTCAGCCTCCCAAAGTACTGGGGTTACAGGCGTGAGCCACCGCGCCCGGCCTCAAATCAGTATTATTACTGCTATAATCAGGGTAAAAATTGATACATTATCTTTGATAAAATAATGAAGATCAAAATGTGTTTGAATTTAATAGACACCTTTGGTTTCAACTGAATTTTTTCTTTGTTGTGTGTTTACTCCAGGGAGTCAACTCAGGATGTATTTATTGCCAACTATCATCAGGTTACAAGATCTTACTGAAATTACCTTTCAAAACGGAACTGTAATCAAATCCCAGTACCTGGAAATCTGATTTTAAAAACAAATATATTAGCCTGTTTTCATACTACTATAAGGAACTGCCCGAGACTAGGTAATTTAGAAAGGAAAGAAACTTAATTGACCCAAGTTCAGCATGGCTGGAAAAGCCTCAGGAAACTTACAATCACGGTAGAAAGCATAGAGGAAGCAAGTCACCTTCTTTACAAGGTGGCAGGAAGGAGAAGTGCTGAGCAAAAGGTGGGGGAAGAGCCCCTTATAAAATCATCACATCTCGTGACAACTCACTATCACGAGAACAGCATGGCAGAAACTGTCCCCACGATTCAATTGTCTCTCTCTGATCTCTCCCTTAGTACCTGGGGATCTGATCTCTCCCTTAGTACCTGGGGATTATGGGGTTTAGGGGGATTACAATTCAAAGTGAGATTTGCATGGGGCAAAGACTAACCATATCAATATTTAAATTCACAAGTG